TATAATGATTATATTACCGATTATCTATCTGTCCGTAGTGGATCTCGATTGGAGAACGAGACGTTAATAGCTTTTATTTTTTCAAGCTTTTATAAAACAATATGTGTTTTATTAATTACTTAGTTTGTGATTTAGAATTTTTTTATATCTATTTTTTCATTACTTTCAAAATTGCTGATTTTAATTTAACGAGTTCAATTAGTAACGATCAAGTTGTCAATCTGGAATAAAAATTCGTGATATTAGCGATTCGAGATGAAGAGTTTTTTCGCGAATTTTTATTTTGAATTTTAACTTCGCGATCGAGTTCGATTTATCCGGATATAGAAACTACTCGGTCCGTATTGACAGCATTAGTAGAACTATCTCGCGATAAATATAACGTTAATAGTTGGGGAACGGAATGCGAAAAGTTTTCCGATTACAATGTTGAACATGCAGTTATATGCTCCCCATTGACTAATTACGGATTGTAATCGTAATAGTAATAGTAATAATGATTAATCTGGTGCTCGCTCGATTCGCGATAAACGCATGTCGCGAATGAATACGCAGAGCGAGCGAGCGAAAGAGAGAGAGAGAGAGAGAGAGAGAGAGAGAAAGAATGTGTGTGCATGAGATAATTACTCTGGTTGGAAAATTGCGCGAAAGTGCCCTTGCTGCCCATAATTACTGAGGGAATTACCAATAGTCATTTGCGATGTATGAGCCATCGAGCATGACAAATTGAAAATGATGTTTCTAATTTGTTCATCTTTTCGTCGATATCTCAATATTTTTAGTCCAAAATTTCATGTCGGAGGATAATCGGATATTAAAAAAAAAATATATAATATGAATTATAGAGATATTAACTTACAAAACATAAAGATAGATGTTATGTTCCTTAAAATTTATGATTCACTGTTATCAAGTTATATCACTATTCTATCCAACGGCTCGTGCTAGATAACCAAAGGGACTAATGTTCCATCAATCGACAATCGCCGAGTGCATCCTCAATGACGACAAGTACCACGGGTACGATAACTTCTGGTACCTGCGGTCAACGAGTATGCGCTCGTGGGCTGAAAACGGGGTCAACCGTGGCGTATCCATGGTGTAATCCCATCGGAACGTTTCAGCCGGTATGAACTCGCTTGAGGTAGAGGTGGATTAAACGAAGAAGAGGGTGTGTTGTGTGCGTGGTTGCGTGCGTAGATGCGCCCGACGGAGTTCATCAAGTTTCACACGAATAGAACGTGTCGATCGATATCAACGCGGATACGCCAAAACCGTGGAAAAGCAAAACAAAAAAATCTGCATTGTGTTTTGAGTAGCGAGCAGGAAAGGCAGGATCGCCGGGAGCAGCAGAATACTTTATACAGGGCGTTCACGAAAATTACTGTGTTAGTAATCACGAACGATCAAAAAGAAAAAAAACGCACAAATTATCAGACTGAGATCCTCTTGAGGTCTCCGACTGTCATAAGGATTTTTCATTCCTATTGAAAAACGACCGGACCCGATCGAAGGTTTCCGCAAAAGAATTCGCTCGCGGATTATCGGGTTCGCCTCTAATTCATCACGAATCATCCCTCGATCACTCGCAATCAGCTCCGTGAATTACCGTCGTTCACGTTGCGGATACGTCCCTGGTTGATAAAGATCTCCGGAAGTGATCTTGATACCCACGGTTCATCGAAACGTTTTGATGACTATTCGATTACATTTTGAATCAATAATATATGCAGACAACCGGGAGGGTCCAAAACTATCGCGATAATTTTCAACAGCGGGCACAATCGCGCCGGGTATATCTTCAATGATTATGGGGACCAATGTTAGCGTGATAATCTATGGGTACCTATGGTCAATGAGCAATATACTCAACCAGGGGTGTCGTGAAGTTTTTTCCAAATCTCTTTTTTTTTTCGGATTTTTTTTTTTAGTAGCGTTTTCACATTATCGTGCAACGCGCAACAATTTGATAAACACTGCGAATCAACATGAATATCGAAGTTCCAACGAAGAAATGAGTCAAAAGGCGACGTCCGCGAGACTCGCTTCCGGTTTCCGAAATTGTTTCGAGAAATTCTCCCGACGGCTCGCAACATCCTTTTCATACAAGCACAAACGACAGCACCAAAATGGCTCGACATATCGATCCCAAACTCGACAAATCGTCCCCTCAATCAACTTCTTATGCGCAATAATTCGTTTCCTCTGGAACAACAATATTAACCTGCAATAATAATGTTAGCACCTGTAGCGCCGCGGATACGCGAGAGTCATTGTTATATCTTTGTATGAACATTTAATACGCAATAAAAATATGTATGTCGTCATCCCACTACATGTGCGGTATACGCTTTACTGCCCCAATATCTATTTGCATAACTGTCTTACATCGCTATCTCGTTTTGCGTTGAACATTTTGTCGATAACAAATATTACATTTATTTTGTATGTATTGCCGCTGTTAGTTGAATATTTTTAACACGTTTCGTCAATATTAAAGTAACTTTATCGCACTATATAAGTCACCGGTGATCCACGATCTTTGTTCGTGTTTATTATATTTATTAAATAACGTGAGATAACATCTTTCGCAATGGATAAAAAATTATGGAAATTATTATTAAGGAAGACCTAATGTACCAATAATGTATCACGTATCATAATTATTTATGTATGACAAAAAATATTATTTTATAATTTACGTTTCTTATTTTAAAATAAAATATCAGTCTGGACGAAAAATAGGTCATCAGTGATCCACGCGACGCGGAACGTGTTAAATTCTTATAATAATAGATAATTTTGCACAGAAAGAACTGTTTTGTTGGAGTATGTAAAAATTTAGCTAGACCTACAGATCTGAAAATAATTTGATCGGACCATAAAAATAATTCTGTAGGACGCTTAAACTGATTGCAAGAATATTATTTTCAAATCTAGCTAAATTTGTTTTCTATCTATAGCTAAATTTTAAGATACTTCAACAAAATCATTCCTTCTTTGTACGCGAGTAACATTAACTCTTTTACGACATAATGATATATCCGCCTTTCTCTATTTAGTTTCTTACGATTGATAAACTTTTTACATATTTTTTACACTTTTCATTCTTTTGTTGTAATACTTGAGTGATCTGTAAGATGTAATGGTATACTTTAATCTCTCCAAAAAGTCTTTCAAGTTTTATTGAAATCGAGCTAATAGAAAAAAATACGTCGCACAGAGTCAACGAAAATTCTATGGTTGAAAATTAGTTAAAAATAAAAGACATATCGTACGTAAAAGACACATCTTTCTACGTAGTTTATATTATTACATAATTTATATTGTATATAAAAGATTTATCTCTCTTTTTGCAAAAATGGATATACTATTCTTTTCTAAAAAGACAGAGACATTATACATTATAAAAAGATAAAAATCAGGCTTCCGTCACAGTCTTCGGTCTCCGGAAGATGCGTGCGGAAGATTCGGCATCCTCCGCGGTCAGAATCACGTGCTCGCGTACTTGACACGTCAACACGTGCTATCATCGTCGACTGCGGATCTCCGGATGGCAAATCGAACGGCGCGAGTCGTCGCGCGGATTGCAAGTGCGCGCGCAAGCTGGCAACAGGTAAATGGCAGGTAAGAAAGAGAGAGAAAAAAGGTGAACAGGAGACGCAGGGAGAAGTGGCGGAATAGGTGAACGCGATGGCAGGGAGACAGGTGCGCTGGTTGGAGGGGCTGCGACTCCTCGAAGAGGTGGGAGTCTCGGGAACCTGATGGAACCCAACAACTCGGTTCGGTTTAGCGTTCTCGCGATCGACAGTCAAGCGTGGAGGGCCGCCGATGGTGCGCGTTTTACGAGTTTGCATGCGAACCGAATACAATGTACGCGCGTGCGTTCGCGTTCACCGCGACGCAGGAATCCGAGGACGTCGGGGTGCGTAGCACGTGATCGTGCGTGGGTGCGTGAGTTCGTGCGTACGTCCGGGGCGCGGACTGCGCTTCACGGATGACTTCGGTAAGTGAGTGATCTTTATCGTGCTTCTAATTGCAGTTACAAAATTCCGCAAAGACTTGGCGCAGAGTTTGGCGCGACTTGTTTCTTCATGGTGTTGCGCCATAAAATTGGGTAAACAATGCTCAAATTTCATAGTTGATGCGAGGAAACCGTAATCTTTAATTGTTTATCTTTGAAGTAGATTTAAAAGACTCTTTTCTTTCTGCCTGAACTGCAATATACAATGTCTATTATACGACAAAAACGTCCGAACGATGAATGATTTGGGATTATTTGAATGCTTCTCCATAATATTCTCTTTTCGGAAAAGAACTTTCTTTGTGTACATGAATGTCTTTAATTTTACAAACATATTCGATCGAGAATATCGTTACCATTGAGAGAATATTATTGTCCACGACTTGACGAGCTTATCGTTGTCATTAGATGCTCGAGAATCCGGTTACAGAGCTGCTCGAATCGAATTAGAGCTGATCGGCGTATAGAGGCGAAGTGCGCACATCGAAAACACGCGGAATGCGTTTCGTTGGACGATAATGCAAGGAGGATCTGCGGAGACTTTAACGATCACATAGTTGAATACATAAGACGAGGCTTAACATTTATCAAGATAATTTCACAATTTATTCGTATCGCATTGATCCACTTGCTTCTATATGTATGATATCGATCCCCGCTGCTTGGAAATACCGGTATACAATACCATATGTTAGAATTTACAATGTGTTCGGGAGAAGTTACTAAAAATTTTACTTAAAGAATTTTCTGCCTAATTTGGAGTCAGTATTCCCTTCTACCGTTCAACAAATAAGTAAAAATGATCAAAAATAAAAACCTACGTTTATTAAAATAGATTCATTCTGAATAGCATAACACAAAGTAGTAAAGTTCTCATTTTTATTTCAAGCTTTAAAATTTAAGATTACAGTTTGATAGAATTTCAAGGTCTTGTTACGACGGAATGTCAATTTTGTGTTTGATTAACAAGAAATAAGTTACGAAAAGATTGTGACATCCAATTGAACTTTTCCTAAGAATTATCAACTCGAAACAGCCAAAGAATTTGTAGATTCTTTTTTTTTAAATATTTTCTCACAGTTCAGAGATTTATGTTTCATTCATGTAGCAGGCTTTCAATAAAGTGCATATTTCCGGTATCAGACGATGCTTTCCGAAAACTTATTAAATATGCATTAACACTCTTTACTCGCTCAAGCAAGGACAAATCAATCGAGCGCGACGTTACACTGCACTGTTGCAATCGTTATCCGTGTGGAAAATCGCTCGGAAAGCTCGGAAATCGAGTGTTAGACGACGTTGTAATGAAAATGACTAATTAATTAGTACCTAATTACACGCGCTTGCCGCGCAACGTTGTTTGTCCTAGTTTGTTGCACGTCGGTTACGCGGGATTAGAAAATGCGGAATCGCGAATGCAGTTTCTTCCGAGATTGCTACCGCAGCATTTGCGACGTTTCGTCATAAGCAAGATGATCGCGCGTACGCGGTGTGACGCGGCTTCGCGCGACAAATTCTGACGTCAAGTACGTGACAAGACTGGCTGCGGGTTACGCATAGCGTTATCAATGGGCAAAAGATGTTACAAGAAATGAAATACCAAGTACGTGTGACGATATGAGTCAGCTTCTAATTAAAATAACTATGTGCAGTGGCTGATAATTTCGTATTTTGCTATTTGCTAAATTAGGAATAAAACAGGAAATACTTTGAACGTTTGTTTGACCGATATCTTTTTATCGCGTTCAACTAAAATATCCAAATAGCTTTTTAGCTAAAATATTCAAACGTTAATAGGTTTTTTTAGTACAAATAAATAGTGAAAATATTCAAACATAGGTATTGAATTAGGTTTTGAATTACAAATTAATATGTGAAAAAAAAAAAACAAGTAAAAGGGGCAAAAAGAAATCCAATCTTGTTGTCAATCATAATGTTTGCACACGGAAAATGATTTCAATGTTTCAAGATATCGAAACAGAAATTTTTGCAACAATATAGCATAACTCTTATGCTATTACAGCGTATAATTTCTCATTTATATGAATAATCGATTCACGCTATTTAATATCCGATAAACGACTTTGATTCGTGATTCATTCCTTTGATCGTAGTCGAGGTTTGAGAGCGAATATCGACGATGTTCGGGTTCGTATAATGTTCGCCATGCGTAAAACTCTTCTCGTGAACCAGTCAAGCAACATTCCTGTGTCCCGACCGTGCATGTCCACCGCCTACCTCTGACTTCTCTATTCCGACTTTCCATGGCAAACGATCTCTCGATGCAGAGTTCGAGCAAGGCACAGTTTATTATGGGATAAAAACAGCAAGATCGAGATATTGCTTAATGAAAAGTAGACCTGAAAGCTTGTCTGAACGTGTGAGAATGCGATAAACGTTTTAAAATAATATTGAATGGCAGGCATCGTGAAGAAAATAAAATAACTCTTATTTTGAGAGACATCACCATTGAAATTTTTTAAATACGATGGATTAAAATGTGTAAATAATTATTAATTATTTATATATATAATAAATCAATTTAAAAAAAAAAAGAATTTACAAAAATTATCAATTTATATATTATCAATTTATATATATAATATAGTTTTTTTTTAAATAGTACCTACTAATTTATAATATCTATTGTTCATGAAATTTTGATCAATTTGAAAAATATAAGAAATTTTTCTTTCAAAAATTAATTGTGTGAACTGTGTGTGTGTAAAAAGCTTTCCGATTTTAAATTATGAGTTTTAATCTTTGAACATATAATGATTAAATATGTTTTCCAGTACGAAATAATTATACACTTCACATCGTCAATATTCTAATTATTTATTTTACTTTGTAGCGCCATATTATGACATAATCTAAATTATTTATTGGGTTGGTCAGAAAGTTTGTGCCGATTTTTTTTAGCTCAAAATTATACATAGAATATAATTGTTGTTGTTGTTATACCATTCAATAGAGCAAAGTTTTACCTTTAAAAATTGGTTTTTTAAATTGCAGTACGATGATTTTTAACAAAGTTATGAGCTCGGTTATAAGCAATCGAAGTCAAAATGCTCCTTTTATTTATTTTTCTCGATAACTCAGTAATAAAAAATCTTAGGAACATTTTTAAAAAACGATTTTGTAGGGAAAGCTTTCACTTAAGTAGAAAGCCGAAAATATTCACGAATTTTGGGCAAATGATATACTCAAAGTTAGAAGAAAATTTTCTATCTTTTTCAACTCATAGTTTTCTGTATGTAAAAATTATCAAACTTACAGAAACTCAAAAAAAAAACATAGTAACCTTTCGAAAATAGATATTTCAAGCTTTAAAACCTTTTTTTTTAATTTAAATTTTTTAAATTTTTGACTGAAATATTGTAAATATAATTTTGTGCTAAAAAAACAGCAGGAACTTTCTAATCAACCCACTATATAATATACATCGCATAAATCAAGATATTTATTTAGCTATATTGTATCAAGTAAGAAAATAAAAATAGTATTTGCACAAACTGTAGCACAAACTTCTTTATCTATACATTGTAACTTATCTTCTTCATTCATATTTGACAAATATTACAGGAATACTGAACACTTCTTATTTTGTCTACATTTCTCACATAAGTATGAATAAAATATATGTCAGGTTTATTTCCCGGAAATATAACTTTTGAAGTACAGGGACTTAATTGATTTTAATTGATATTATTCGAAATTATTTTCTCAAAAACAAAACAATAGAATTTTGAAATTTGAGAAATATTTTATAAAATTATCGTAAATACATATGTATATTATACGAAATATAAATATAAATAAATACTATTTTAAGACTTTTATCATTTCCGTATTCTGTTCATTTTAAATAGTTTACTATTGCTTTATTTTGTACGATTATTTGAGTAGATTGTACCATGTGTTCGCATTCGATTCTCATTTGTTACAACACCAGGCAACACCCTAAAGCATTGTGCGTCGACACGTATTGTGTGGTACCAGATATTGTATTCGGGACCAGATGTACCACAGCGCTCACTTGATCCAACGCAGCGAGCGACAACAAACATTTGCGTTACAATGTACATCCGAATGATTACAAGTAAAGTTATGCACTTTAATACATATATATATATATATATATAATACCCGATAACTGAATGTGTTAAGACACGCGATAATAATATTGGTGAAAGAAAGACACGTATGATCGTGTATCTTCCAAAACATCGGTAGGTGTATATGTATGTGGACATATCATAATCGCTTGACGCATTGCTGTGTTGCAATTATTAAACGTTATGACGTTATCAACTGTGACAATATATTTTCATTTCGACAATATTTTTTTTTAATTTTGCAATTAAAGTATACTGTTTTATAGATATCAAAGGAGCAATGGTTAAAAATAACAAAATGTTATTTTTAATTTCCATATGCAAATCACACAATTCATTTCCGTAATTTTAAAGTCCATGTAAATCAATCTATTTCTGTAGTTACAAAGTAAACAATGCCCGTACTAACGTATACACTTAGTAAATAACAAATTAGATTTGCCAAATGTAATACTATTCTTGAATTGAATTATTTAACTCTATTGTTTTAGTTAAATTAACAATATATTGAGTAGAAACAATGGCGAATTATTAGAAACAGTTAAAAATAACTCAAATTGGATATAATTTGACATTATGAATTTAACAATGTTTAAGTATTGAATTGCAAGCATGTGAATAATTCTAAAATTGACGTAATCGATCTTGAACATTTAATTAAGATTTCGGATATTTTATTTAATTAAGACTAAAATGTTGATTAATTCTTTTAAATTTTTTAAATAAAATGAGCATTAAAATAAGATTGTGATGAAATATTTCGGTTCATTAAAATAATTCAGTCTTAGCGACTTTAATCGACAGCTAATCGTTGTTACGCGTGGGAGAGCAATTTTCCATTGCTATTACGTAGGAAACGAAGCAAGCGTTTACTTCGCTGGTTGATACGACGAGTGAGTCACAAACGCGATATGCTGTGGCCCTGAGAATATTAGTCTCTCATTATTGTATCTTATTTCGAAAACGACTGCGGATTACACGTCTTACAAGTATCGAGTATTTAGTGTCTCATTATTATCCGTTAATTGATTGAAATTCATTCTTTGATTACAAGAAATTTTTTCTATTTATAAATCTGTTTGTTTATTGCAATTTTTGATAATATCATCGTGACTATCACTATTGAAAGTATGTTACTCACTTTGAAAAAAATAGTCCTCTAAGCAAACGTCACGCAATCGAAAGAATATAAAACACGACAAGAACGATAGACCGCAAGTAATTTACAAAACATAGTCCATGATGTGACAATAAAACGAGGTTGTCGGTGGGTAGGCGAAAGTATCTCCGCTGTTGCACACGACACCGGAGGCCATTTTGATGCATCCAACCGCGCTCGCATATGCGTTAACACAGGTGTTTGAAGAGTACAGGTGATGCCACTTCACAAGTACTAACGCATCTCTCGATGAAACCGGACGTAACCAATGGATATAAACAACGAAATAAAACACATTTCTATTCAAAAAAATCCTCGATTTCGACCTAAATAAACCCACTGTACATTCAAACTGTACGAATTGCTATTGAACTTCTGCATTCCTTTGCGACTTCCTCAAAACCATCAGATAGTTGTACATTTTTCGTCTAGTAATTACATTAAACACAATTTATGTAAATTAAATTAAAGAAGTTATTCTTCTTTTATAGCGACTGCTGAGGAATTATTTTAATTTTAACAATAATATATTTTTAAAAAGTATGAGAGAATATTTAAAGTCTAAATTACTAAACCGAATCGTATATTCGAAAGTTACAATTTACAATAAGATATTCGACAATTTTAATATCCAATTTTTTTTTCTTTTTTTTTAGTATCCAAAAATATTTTAGTATCAAAATATAATTATATTTTGATAATCCATTAAAATTATTTTCAGATCAGTATCTAAATAAATGTTTTAATATCTTGTTAGTAAAAAGCTGTCCTTTCCGTGTGTATGAACTACATTATGTCTCTCATTGATTATCTTTATATACCATACTATGTTTCTCAAAATTGCAGTTATATTCCATCATATACGTATGTATATTACCGTCAGTATTAATTCGTTCACTAAAGAATGACATATCACTAAAAATGTAATTAAATTGTCGTAAAGTCTTTTTGTTTGCAATTGTAACAGATTTTATATCGTCTAACGGACTTTTTCACCGATCCTTTACTATATATATATACTTTAGAAAATAATATTTACAATTCAATGTGTATGTAAGAATATGACAGATGTTTTTTCATAATGCTTTTAGCGCCACGAACATGGAGCCTCTTCGAGGTATACTTTTCGAGTGCCGTTAAGGATTATCATGAGCGTCGATTATGGAGAGAGTCACTATTGTGTCCTAGATCCGTGATTCGAGATAAAGAGAGAGAGAGAGAGAGAGAGAGAGAGAGAGAGAGAGAGAGAGAGAGAGAGAGAAAGAGAAAAAGAAGAAAAGTAAAAAAGACAATTAGAAAAAAAGAAAGAACGTCAAACCAGTTGGTGAACTCAATTAAATCCGCTGCACATTAGAGCCGATATTGCTTCGATTAAGTGTTACTGGAAGTGATCATAAACAGCATGACATTGATAGTGTCAGTTATCGTCGTTCTATCCGTCTTGGCTAATGTCTTGCTAGCCGACCTCGATCCTCGGGGTACCAGGTGTGGCGACATATTTTGCAACATCTCGCAGTATTGCAGCCCCTTCGATCTGCATTGCAAACCATGTGCAGATGCGTGTAACGCCACGAGTCACAATTATCAGCCAGACGAGTGCAAGAAAGACTGTCAATGTGAGTAGTAAACAAGTTTTTATGTAAAACTTTGAAAACAATAATTATTCAACAGCTAGAAAATGAAAATCTTTAAACGATCAAGCTGGATTTTTAGTGCTTAAATAATTCAGTGTAAATTTATATTCATATCTATATTGAGAAAAATGATTTTGCTATGAACACAAAAGGATTGCAAAGTTTAATTGTCAAATTTGTTTGTTGTTTCTAGCAAATAAATTTGCTATATATTTGACAAATATTTTGCATTTGTTGCAAATAATTTTTGTAACGAATACGAAAAAGAACAAATATTTCTAAGACCTGCAAATAATTTGCGATTCCTATATTTGCAAATGGAATTTGCCAATGGATTATGGCATAGGATTAGCGATCACAGCAAATTTTTTCTCTCCGTGTAATCGTGTATGATAAATTTTATGCCGAATTTAATTTTCAGTTTTGAAACACAATCCTAATAATTAGAGTAATAATATCATAAATTAAATTGACAAGCAATTTAATAGAATATTAATGCTCATAGCCATTTTACAATTAGAAGGATATTTATAAACTGGATATTCATAATAAGCATTTTAAAAGTAAATAATTTTTTGTATTGTTATATGATAATTATTATCTTTTCACTGTTAAAGAGCATCGTTTAAAATCATAATTAAATTCATTGCGTGGTTTCAGTCAGTCGATTATGAAGTTCGCTTTAAATATTTCCTTAATTTCCCTCCTTAATTTCCCTCTGTCCGAAATGACACTTAAATTGAATATTAATTGAGTATTCAAATAAACCTTCATTCTGAAGATTAGCATTTAATTTGAGTGTTATTTCGGATCGCCAATGCCTAGCTCGGTGTATTTTTTCGTAAGGGTTAAAATATACATAAAAATATAGTCTTTTTTACAATTAGCTTTTGCTTAAAAATATTTTTGACAAAATACTAGAATTTGCGCACACCGGTATGAAAGTGTCCAAATTTTAATCGCCGGAAAAATTAACGTTCTATATTTTGCTAATTTGAATTTACCTATACGATTTTGTCTCTTATCTCTTTCATCAGTGTTTATTCATGTGCGGTGCGATGTCCTGATTTCTCGTTTTCACGCGAGCATACGGGAAACCGGATAGCAAGTAGGTACGGTGCCATCGTTCACCTCTGCCGAGCGCGGCGAGCAAGCAAACCAAACCCGGGTTCTCGGGTCCGTTGACTTTGCACCTGACTGTTCCTACCGACTTCCCACACGCGAACGCGGTCGATGAGTCACCTAGCTTCTTTTCTTCCTCCCTCTGTCCTCTCCGCCGTCCTTTTTCTTTCAGCCTCCTCGGACCCTCCCTATCCTCCTCTTCGTCATTTTTTTCCCTTCCATTCCTTGGTTGGTATTCAATATCGGTTCCGTAATGGGGAAGGGGAGATGTATTTCATGCTCCGACAGGTAGGAGAAACTGCGGCTTCGCTCCTTCTTGAGACGCGCGAAGAATGAAATTCTCTGCCTTTATATCAAAGGATGCTCTTTCGCTTGACGGGGAGAGGGAAAGGGGAAGGGGGATTTGATTTGACGTGTGTAGCTGGTTCGTACGAAATTATCCGTGTAGAGTTCTGTCGGGCCCGCGTCTGGTTCCCCATTGAGAGACCCCGTTATGGTGTCCGGTTACGTTATGTCGGTAAACTCAGTTCGGACTTATATATGATTTCTATGTTGGGGGAGAACTTGTTGACTTTGTGTGTTGGGAAATGAACGTATAAAAATGTTCAATGAAATAAGAACTCTCTCTCTCTCTCTGGGGAAGACGTGCTGTTCCTTTCACGTCTAGGATATTCAAGAAATTTGTAAAACGGTGAATGAAGATTGCTCTAAATTGTAACTGTTTGTGTTGTGGGACATTCTAATAAATTATTTTTCAAAATTGCGACATCATAATTAACGATCCAAATAGTACGGCATACCACACGATATTTTATCTTTGGTAACTGATATTATTTCTGAACAATTAAATATCTCAGTTCAGAGTATTCTTTTCTTTACTTGCAAATTTTATCCAACGGCATCGCGACTAAGCGCTCGCGAATCGATCCATGTAAACTCACCGTCCCAGGTCTAGGTTCGTTTCTCTTTTGGAATGGGGTCATCTTGCATTTATAGTTGGGATAAGGCGTAATCGCACTCTCACGTGCTGTAAGCACCGTAGGTCGGAATTGTTTGTGCTGTTAGTTGCTATCGCGACCGACTCTCCGGCCTTACGCAAGCGCGCGAGAACTTTTTGAGAGGTATGCGATTGATTCGAATAAGAAGAATCGGAGAACGTTGTTGTGAAGACGAATGTTGAAGTGTGAATGTTGAAGTAGCAGACAGATCGATTGCGCGTTAAGCCGAATTAATTTTATAGAAATTTTTTTTTAATTTGCTCGGAAGGAGTAGATCATACAGAGAAAAACTCCAATGGAAAATAAAAATAAATGCCTAAGTAATGTCATAAATCAATAAAACTGACATGTAAAATTTACTTATATGTTAGATATTTTTAATTACAATATAATTATATATTTTTTACGCAAATTTTTAATAACGTTTACCTTTCTTATTTTAGAGCTATATTATATCTTTGAACAAACTATTAATAAAGATTGTAGTATGTATTAATATTATTAAAATATTATTGCAATAGTATTTTTAACATAGTACATTTTTCTTTTAACTGTTATTCTTGAAACTGTAATTGATTCGACTTTAATTATATGTGAACACAAAACCGTCGAGTTTCTCTCACATATCTAGTGCATGATAGCATAATGGTAAAAATAAATTATTAACGACGCTACAACAATTATAATTGGAGAAATCTTCGAGTTTTGTAGCGTCGTTAATAATTTATTTTTCGTAACGCTTTCTAAATAAATATTTGATATTGAAATCTTAACAAGAAATGTTAATAAAACATTCATTTAATGTTGAAATATCTCGAGCACATTTTAGATAAGTTTACTCGATAAATGCAGTGCGAATGCGCGAAATACTATACTAATTATTGGTCGCTCCTTCTAATTTCAGTTTATCTTCATGATCAGCGCTACATTCAACGCATGGATCAATCAAGACAGTACGATGATCTCAGAGGTGAGTGGGCTCAAGTGCAAATAGAATATGCACATAATTTTATTGCGAAGTACTGCACGTCTTGAGAGAAGTCAAACCAGTCGGAGATTTCAACGACGCAAATCTCGCACAAGCGTCACTCGGCTTATAATTCTTGCGCGAGTACCGCTTAATACATGGTCGCGAAGACCGGTAATTTATTGTTGTAAATCTCATAGCTATTTTTATTACAGAAGTATAATTTTCACGTACATTTATAGTCAAGGTATATTTACATTTATATAAATACTTTTTCAAGTGGTTTCAGAATACTCAGGAAATTTCAATATTTCATTTTTAGTCTTATGTCTCGTATTGTCTTATATAATTCGCGATTAGAAAAAAGTAATTGTAAGCAATTTATAACATATTGGTTTTAATGTTTCATATTAACGTTGACTCTTCCTTTCTAATATAAGAGAACTTTACTTAGAAACATAATGCGCAACTTTCACTTTCGAGGGTTTAACGAGAACAGATATTAGATATGCTTATGCGTATCTTTTTTAAAATCAGCGATGTATTATGGAGCATAATAAACGGTTATCACATAATTATATAATATCAAATAATTAGTCCCCAGTTTCTTTGAAAATATTTACATTCTATTTGTTAATGTATGAAATTAAATTGCGCAAAAATTTCTAATGATTATATTATCTAAAAAATAATCCTCTTCTGAAACGTCATTATTAATATTTCTTATAACAATTTCTATAATTAATGTAAGAATTGGGTTCGAAAATAAATCGAATATGTTATACTAACCGATTTCGTTAATCTTCAGAAAATTTTTATATTAGCCGTAAAATTTTCTTTTATAGAGGAGGTTGAGAGGCTTAAATACAGGTTCGTGATCACAACGATTTTGACCTGTTTCTCGCTGCTCGGAATGTTGTACCTGCTGGCAAGGACTTTAATACGGTGGAAAAGGATCCAAGAGTCTTTACAAACTATATTTCGAAGGAACATAAAAGTGAAGGTGAGAATCCACAAGAATAGATGTTTTCAAAAAGCTTTTTCTTCATTATTACGAGAGTATTGCGACAGATTTTTTCATAACGTACGTGCAAAAATAAAATAAAATTTATCAACATAACAAATACAAATTAAAAATTTAGTCTCCTATACGAAAATGATAAAAAATTCTTATATTTTTTTTATTTTAATTTTGTATTAAAACCGCAAGTGACCATTGCGAAAAATTTAGTGACTTCTTACGTGATGTAGTTTGCAAGGTAGTTGCGAGTAAGACTGTAACGTCTTAATTACGTTGTTGCTTCAGCAGGCTAATAAGAACAAAGTGCAAGATGACGTCGAGGCCGCGAATAAGCAAAATGGTCTCAAGTTGACTATACCAAGCATAAGTGCCACGGTGGAGCAAGAATCCAAGATAATCGAGAATAATAACAGTAATAGTAATAGTAATAGTAATGGGATTAATACTACACCGAACACCACGAGCACACCTCTCTCACGACGGCACGCTAGCGAGGATACTACTCTCGATTATGCTTACGATAATCCGGCGATGACACCGAGCCCGGACTCCGCGCAGCTTAAGACGAAGGCTCGCGAGAGTTCGTTTTAAGGGCATCGTTTATGGGCATTTAAGATAAGAATATATGTACGCAAGGATCATTCTCGACTTTACTCGAAAAAATATAAATCTCGAAGTACTTAAGCTTAAAAAAGGAAGGCATTCAGATAAATTTGCTTGTTCTAAAAATACATTTTGAAGTTCCACTTATCCAAATAGGAACACCTTTTGTGGCAATAATTGCTTTTATGAAAAAGTGAACAAGACATACATATATTTACCCAGAATATTGAGGAAAAGATTTCTTTATCGGAAACTTCAATAATTCTGGTTTAAGTGGACAGGAAAATGAAAATAAGAGGATGTGGCTAAGCGTATAGGCGTAAAATGTGACGTGGCTATTCTGTCTTGTTCTGTGACTATATTGAGATATAAGATTTTTCGCGTTTTTACAATTTTTCGAGCTATATTGTTAATAAATATTGGAATGTATGAGCGATCACTCAATGAGAAATCACTCAATGCATCGTTTTGTCTTTTTTAAATGCTCTCGCAATTTTACGTACGTTGAACAGTTTTTAAGAATGATATTCATAGTCGATAGTTCTATGAATGACCACAGTGTAGAGAATAATCATATTTCTACATAATTATTTTTTATTCCCAATAATCCCTGAATCATTAAGCGCCAAGTCATAAAACAAGTGATTTCTTGATATTTTCAATGACTTGGAGAAATAATCTATTGGTGCATGGCTCATTTTCGACTACGTATTAATTACACTATGATGAAAGAAGTATTTGAAAAATAACATAGCTTTTACATCGAGACTATAAACATTGTTTTAATAGATCACTTGTACAGTTATAATATAGTAACGTAAGTTTTGGAGTGACTCGTGAATGCGTGTCACGCCTCCGCGAACCATGCGGCTGTGTGACTTAATTAAATAGTTATTAACGCGACATACTCGCGAAATGTAGACGCGCGCGGTGCAATTTTCTCGACTCTATCTTCTTGATCTTAAACTGCTGGTGAAACACTAGTTTCCGTGAAATTACTATACTAACGCCAATACCTTCGACTGTTAGATAAGCTGTAAGTGTCCCTAAAGTTATTCTTTTGCTAGTTCTTCAAATAAACTTTTAAGTTTGTTTTATAGTTATCTTCTATTGATAAAGGCATTATGCATTGGTATTTACTAATAAATTAATTCTACTTACAAATATAATTAATGAATGATTAAAAAGTTAATTTTATTTATAAATGAAATTAATGAATGATTAATAAAAAAATGCAATATTTCTTACAAAATTTTTGTATAGTGTTTTTACGATTAATTTACAATCGCTAAAATTATATCAACAACCCGAATTAAAGATCGACGATTGGAGAGCGCATAAATTTCTATTGTATTATGTATAGCGCGCGTCCATTTAGAATTTTAATAATAGATACATAATAGATAAATATTTTAAGAAATCGCATCCTTATCAGCCATTCCGTCCATGAAAGGCCTTCCGAGCAAACGTGCTGCGTATAAGGTCGCACATTGCATAGGTCAGTGACGTTGCACGCGAGAACGAAGGGAAATCGATAACAATTTTATCGCGAACCGTGGTGAGCCAAGACATAATGCATTCTTGTGAAATTCTACGACAATGTAAATTCAAATAACAGCCATTAGTCTTGATAAAAATTTAAAAAAAATGTTTACATAACAAATACAATTTGCTCAAAGCAGATATGCTCAATAATCACTTACTTCCCAAATAATGTTTTATTTTTATCGATTGGGAGAAAGTATTTGATTAATGCTCAATTTTAATGAGTATTTTAATGAGTAGAAAATTGCTCAAACTTGTAAATTGTCATTAATAATTAATAACGTTTTAAATAAATTTTGCTTTAAATTAATTTATATTTTAAATTAAAATTTTAATAATTTATTAATCAATGAAAATAAAAATTAATTTAAAAAGAAAAAGTTCCAAGTTTACTTATTTTTTCTCTTCTATAGAATAATAAAGATTTATTATAGAGAGAAAAATTAAATAAATAATTCTTTATAAATTATATTTCATATACTCATCGAGTAATCTTATAAATTAAAAAAAAGAAAAGATTAGGAGATTTAAAGAATGACTATTTTAACAATCAAATGAAAGAGTTTACATTGATATATAAGTATTAATGTAGAATACTTCATCTTCGTCTTGCAGCAACTGCTGACCTTAGATTTAATCATTTATTATGATTCACTATTCTTAGCGATTAGTCAAATAATACTAACGACACATTATAATGCATTTTTCATTTCATTTTTATTTAAATGATCCCCTTTAAGGGTGGATCAGCGTCTTCCAGAAACGAAGATATTAACTTGCCCAGGTGCAGCTCGTAGCATTAAGTTTTCAAGTTGATAACTAACTGTATATATAATACATGTAGCAAATACTTTACTCTTATTTAACAGTCTGTTTTGCTAATGCCTTTAAATATGTAGACATAGAAACGTAAACAAAAATCAGAAAAATTAGACAGCTTGATCAGCTCGATACACGCAAGATTTTTTAAACTTTCCTTTTAGCGTACTTAAGAGAATTGTACATAATTTTAATAATTTTAACGTTTTATTAATTATTTTAGAAATCAATTTAATTTTTGTTTTAATAATTGAGAGGTTCAGTATTATGAATAATGATGATGACATTACTTAAGCATCCAATCAATCTGTCACTTCTAATCTTTCTAATCTCTCAGCTTCAGAAAATCACTATCACAAAACTATAATTCATTATTATCTTAATTTTAAAATACTAGACAACCTTTTTCGCGTGATAATAATATAGAATATGTTGTGACAGTACTTTTAGACAAATATATTGGTGTGTATGAATTAATTATTCTGAATAATATTAGTGTGTTCCATATTGATTAGATTATCATACTTATTCTTATATTGTTATATAAATATCTGTGTGACTTAAAGTGTGTGCCTTTATCAACGCAATGTAAGATGAATACAATTAAAACAATAGGTTATTATGGCGTGCCTTTTCGACGAATTTTTTCGATGTTGAAACATTTTTGTGATATACAAAAATTTATTTGTGTAATATGGATACAATAAAGAGATGAAGTCTCTTATATGTGTATATCAATATACATATGTGTCGTGCATATTCTATATGTATATATGTACATATATAAAGTATATATTAACTCAATACATCTCAAATTAATCATAAATAAATTAACGACGAGCAATAAATATATTTTATTTAAATAATATATTAAATATTTTAAACATATATATTTTTTAATAATACTAATATTTTTTTGTTTTTATACAAATAATGACTATGCAATTTAAAATATTACACGAAACTCATGCTGGAGTTATATATTCTTTACGTATGTACATCAGAAGTGCCGATTTTTTAGAAAGATATTGTTATAAGTATCGACAGATAGTTTAAATATAATCATTTGATTCATCCACTACGTTGCATCACTATAAAATATAAAGAAATTTCAATGCGCGATTTAATTATCGCAATGTTAGTAAATATAAGTAATCGACAATTTATAACATTTGTGTAATGTTATCTATAATAGTAGTAAGGTATTTGTAAGGTATTTGTGCGTCATGAATTTGTCATGAATATCAGTTATTATGGGAAGTCGACGCAATATACATTCCATTCTACATTTTCTCGAAATACACGCATGTTACCGATACCGAAGTATATTTGTATCCTGAGTGGATATCGGATATTTTACTGTTGTTACCGTATCGCTCTTAAAAATAATGAAGAGTGAACGTTTCTTTTTTACTATATTTACTTGTAACGCTACTCTTCGTGAGCGTTTAATGTTATTTGGCTGTAATAAACTCAAAGAAATGTGACAAAATATTTCTGTTGAGCAATAGCAACTTTGTTTTTTGTATAAATAAAAATTTAGATATACTGACAAATATAGAAATATTATTTCACTTCCAGCATTTCCATTGTCTCCTTTTATTCCGTTATTTCAATACACTTTGTAGTAAAAGATAATTTTCGAAATGTCATTTTATAATTAATTGCATAATCGTATAAAATCTTCTAATGGATAATCTAATTAAATCCTGCGAATTTATAGTTATGTGCATCAATAATAAACATTCTCATACTTTTACACTCTTAAAGAAATAAAAATTGAACCATTCTTTTTCAAGATGAGCTCGATATTCATTCTTTAACATGTGAGATTCTATTCCAAAAAATTTAGAAAGTATATTACTATAAAAGATGGAAACTATTTTGTCCGAAACATTCGTGAATTTAAAAGATTTCTTTCTATTCTTCTTTCAATCAATAAAGAAATTGAGAATTGAAAGGATTAATCGGACGAAAATACAACCGGAACGAAGGTGATCTACGAAAAGTCCATCGGCTGTTACATATGCTCACATAAGTACCATTACGGAAGGCGGTAGTCGAGGGCGATATGGAGCAACGGAGCGGCGGAGAATCCGCAATTATTCAATCGTGGCCCGTGAAGCTGCGTTTGACGCGTCGTTCTTTCACCGTCACAGACATTTCGTAGAGCGTGTAGAAGAAGCGGCATATCCGTAATCTCGTCGTCGCGTCGTCGCACAATCACAGTAATCGCGCGAGATCAAAGGGATCAAAACGACGGATTTCGTAAAAATATCGGGTTTGACTTCAGTCATCGACTGTGATTTTTTATTAATTTTTCGCGCTTCCATGTGATTTCGAAGAATTTGACGAGAGCACGTTATTTTTTAACTTTACAACAATTATTAAAATAGTTTATAAAAACGTGATAATTTCGTGAACATTTGTGTAATTATATAAAATTTACAATGAAGTGAACAGATTTAGAATAAATATCCTTTTATCTCTAACGTGCTCCTCAGAGTTTAATCACGCGAATAGATTGATTTTTATATAAAATTTCGCGATTTCTCTCTCTCTCTCTTTCTCATAATTTTTGAAATATCAAACCTACATTAAATGTGGATCTAACACTTGTCAGATTTCTGTGGGATGTTGGAGAACTCGCACGCGACGGGAAATAATTACGACTAATTTTCTGTTCCAATTTGCAAATTTCTACAAATGCGCTCATATTGAGTTACTGAATACTGAATATCGAAAGAGTATCGTAATGGTGACATCAAAATCCAAAATTTATCGACTATAAAATATCTGGTTAGAACAATTTTTGCTCGACGAAACGAACCTGTAGTACAATGGATACGATGGATAACCGGCGAACATTTGATTTGGTCGATTCGATCGTATTCATCGGGTTGCTGGGCGTCTCTGCCCTCGTAGGCGTTTATCAGTGGTATGCATCCAGGAAAAAGGCAGACGCTGTGGGAGAATATCTTGTAGGTGGCCAAAAGATGTCTATATTTCCGATAAGCATGTCACTGATAGCAAGGTAAAGATGTATTCCTTTTTTTATTTCTTTTTCTCAAATTTTAGTTAAAATCTTATACCACGTAACATCGAAAAAGTGTATAATTAAAAACATATGTTCTCTGAGACTTTAAAATATCTTTTATGCTTTGAAAAATATATAAAAATATTTTTATTTAGGAGGTTCATACATCCAAAAAGATTAAAAAGACGCCTCTACTTTTATAATTTTTTTTTTTTACAGAAACTACTAACTTTATTTAAAAAGAATTTTGATCAATATCTTACATATATATTAGTATACTTTTTAAAACTTTTAGAGTGAATTTCAATCTAAATAGTGGAATCTCATTCTTAAAAAAAAAATTAAACCATTTTTTTCCAAGAACTGGTTCAATTTTATTCTTTAGAGTGAGATTCCACTTTAAAGAATATAGTGAGTAGTGTGTTACATAAAATTTTTAATAAAAAATATTATATAACAAATAGTGTCATCACAACTGTTAGCTAATAGTTAACTGTTAACTAATAGTATACAGAACTGTTAACTAATAGTATACAGAAGATAACCATCTCATAATAGATTTCATATAGTTGATCTGAAACAAAACCCAACAAATTCTTAAAAAAATATATTAATAAATCTAATCTTTGTATTGCTGATTTTATACATTCCCAATTTTAATAAAATGGCGAACTTCTAAATTTAAAAGGTAAACCATTATTACTATGGGTAAATTCGACACCAATAGTTGTGCTTGTGCTATTTGTTATAATGTTTCTAATTAAAAATTTTGTGTATCTCTTACTAATATTACTATTTGAATAAAATAGATATCGGATAATATCGGTTTGATTGAACGCTAGCCTTTTTCGAGATTTTCTTGAACGACAAAAATATATATATGACATAAAACATTGTTCTTACAAAACACTCTTTTGCTCGTATTTTTTTTTAAATAAAAATAACCAACATTTTTATATTTTTTAATGTCATTTAGATTTCTTGTTTGTGTAAATTGGAAAGTGGTATCGGACAGATAAATGTGACTGGTGATGTGATATGACTACACTCAAAAAAGAAGTGTTCAATTTTAAGATATTAAAATGTTTTGTTCTTGTATTACTATTTTTTAAACACTTAAAGATGTTTTAGTTTCAAACTTTGTCAATAAACAAAACACTATGTATTTGAATTTCAGTATGATCTTCTCCTATAAGTCCACCTTTTTTTAACGCAACTCTACTTCTCGTTGCAAGTTTGCAACGACGAAAAGTTGAAACACTAACAATGAGATAGCAACAAAGGGATAACCACTCTTGAATCCCGGTGTACAATCTACCAGAAGTCCGTTGAATTCCTTGTAATAAAGTCCGATAAAATCCA